AATATGGTTCAACGCACATTTCAAAATATTACAATGCCAGATGGCAAATTTGAATTAAATCAGGGAGAGTTCTTCTTTTATCCCTTGCTTTCTGTTTTTTTTTTGTCTAAATTTTAAATATGTGCTTCCCTCAGAGTAAACCTACTAAAGCTACTATTATGTCTGAATTCTCTGAAGTTTTTTTTTTTAATTCTCCATATAAAGATGTACATGAAGTGGGGGGTTTTTTCCTCTCATCCCACAGTATTCCCATAAAATAAATACCTGTTGCAAATGCACCAATAATTTATTGTGGGTTTAATATTACTCTGTTTTCTATACAAATAAATTGGCAAACTTTTATAAGTATTTTTTCTACTGTACTGATTTTAAGAGACCCTGGTTTCAATTCAAAATTGAATTGTAGGTCTGATCTTATTAACCTTCAATTTCAAATTTGTGAGTATTGATTATCAGCCCAGTTAGCAAATTCCTGCTTAGTTCAAGTGACTTGGATATCCTCATTTTTTCCTGCAAGTCAAAAATCTATTCTATCAATACTGAAGATCACTGGTTAAGAACCACATTTGGTCTATCTCTTTATTCCAGCATTTATTTATTAATTCATTCCACATATCGGCATCTAATTCCTCACACTTCTCTAGAATAAGGTTAAAAAAATGTTGCGCATGTGAGATTAGCATGATACAATTTTCCTGAATATTAATTCTTTTTTAAAAGTTGTTGGAAAGGTATAAGATGACCCTTTTTGATTACACCCAACGGCATGATATATGCAATCTCTTAGTATTGTTTGCCAGGAAATGTTGAATTCACAGCATGCTACAGGCAATAATTTAAAGATGGTCTTTCTTCAGGATATTTCCGATTGTCATCCCACAATGTTGCTCCTTATGAGTTAAAAATTGTTTCGACATGAAGCCATTGAGTAGACTCAGAATTTTTGAAAGCACTTTGATTACAACTCACTACCTAACTCAATATAGTAAAAAAGTTTTCCTTAAATGTATCAAACGCAAACATCTTGAAAGATGTTAACTCTCATTGGACTTTAGACAATAGTTTTAATTTCGCTCGTAAGGTCTGTCTTAAGAGGCTCTAGCTTGATACGACACAAATGGATTTGATAACTTTTTACTTAATTCAATACAATAAAATTTTCCTTAAATATTTTTAAGTAGCATTGAAGGATGTAACCCACACTTGACTCTTAAACAATTGTTTTCATTTTGCTTGCAAGATGTGTCTTAACAGGCTCCAGCCTGATATTACACTAATGCAGTAGTGGCGAACCTATGGCACGGGTGCCAGAGGCGGCACTCGGAGCCCTCTCTGTGGGCATGCAAGCCATCGCCCCAGTCCTAGGCCTTCAGCTGGGTTTTATAAAACCTTTTCACTTTAGGGCTCCGCCGCCGTGTGCAAAAAAAAAAAAAAAAGGTTCAATCACTCAATTTCAACTTCTCGCAGGAAAAAAAAATCTTGCAAAGTTGGAATTGATAGATTGAACTTTTTAGTCCCACCCAGTCTGCTGTTACCACCTCAGCTACGCCCACTTAATGGGCCACACCCAGCCAACGGGCCACACCCAGCCAACGGGCCACACCCACCCAGCATTCGACGATGCATAAGTGGGTTTTGGGTTGCAGTTTGGGCACTCGGTCTCTAAAAGGTTCGCCATCACTGCACTAATGGATTGAGTAACTTTTTATTTCAAGATATCATAGATCTTTTTAAAAACATACTGTTTAGATAAGAACTAATGCAAACTTGTAATTTAAAATTTGATTTTACCTTAGTGGCTTCTTAAACTCTTTTCAGTAATATATTCACTCAGTAATATATAATATATCCAAAAACTAAAGACCAAGGAGGACTAGTAATTTTATCAGCAATGCATGTGAACTTCACAAATTATTGGGGGATGCTGATTACATTGTATGACAATTAAGTTTTACAGAATTATAGAGAATAGTCAGCGATGAAGGCATCAAATCTGGATTACTCAATGAAACTCTGAATTTTAAAAACAGCAGTTTGCATTTATAATACATGATACAACCAAGGATTGGGATATGGTACTTCTGTACCCATTGAAGCTCACTTTTACAGTTTTGCAACTGAATAATCAATTTGTAGTCATAATTAACTATACTCATGTTATGAAACAACTGTGCTATTTCAAGAGAAGAAAAAAAATATTCTTTAATTCCTTCTGATGACAATTTGCTACTAATGCTAATTTAATTATCTTTAAATGTTTTGTTGTATGTACGCATGCCAGAAATAGTAATGAACATATGGGTTGTTTCAGTTCCCCCCCCCCAAACTCTAGTAATGGTTACATTCTGGAAAATTAACAGATGTTGCCAGATGTTCCTATAAATTACAATCCTTGTGAAGCATTTAGAAGAGGAACGGTGAAAGTATCTACATTCTCAATTCAGGCAGAGGTTTTGCCCTATTTGTGGATTTCTAACCAGATGTGCAAACATCTTCTAGAAGGTCTACAATGACTCTTTGGCCGTTTGAATACTTTTGCCTCTTTGCAAAAGGATGGTCAAAAGTCTGTGCAAAAGTATAGATGCTATGTGTCTGGTTACTGTTTGGTGGCTTTCTGAATATTGTGCTTTTAATATTTTAACTGAAGGTATGCCATTTGGGGGACCCATGGCTGACAAACTTGCTTGTAATATTAAGTAGTTAACAATGTTACACACTAACATCTAAAGTATAGCCAGAAGAGAATACTAAATCCTACTGCCCCTCATTTTCCTTCTGTCAGAAGGAGATAACAGAACATTGTTAACCTGTACATAATTAATCAATGAACATTCATTACCATAAGATGTAGTGATGACCACAAACTTGGATGAGGCGAAAAGAAGAATCATAAATTGTTTGGGACACAAATATTGTGGGATCATCTGTTTAGGATATGGAGACTGGTAACATAAAACTACTGTAGCTCAATAGAAGAATTATCAGTAGACCCAAAGATGCTTTTTCACAAGGCAACTGGACTTTCTTGTTTTTCTTTGAAGACGTTTCGCTTCTCATCCAAGAAGCTTCTTTAGCTCTGACTGGATGGTGGGGAATGGAAGGATTTATACCCGTTGCAGACAGCTGTTCATTTGCATTCTTTTAGAGAGTCATTATTAGTATCAATTCTAGTTATCAGTAGAATTATTTTATGTTGGTGCAATGCATTATTTAGCATATGGTGGTTACATTAGCCAAGAGACCACAATGCTAATGCAGAGTAGTAGTTTGGCTGCTTGCTAGCCCTGTTTGATTCATGCTTGCGTGCTTTCCGAGGTGTGCCACAAGGGACGAGCTAGCTCTGCACCAGAAATAAAAATGAGCGGCTTTCCTGCAGGACATCTGGGATCCTCTCCCTCCAGTAAATCTACCTCACAAATAAACGTTGCAACTGGGAAGATCCGGTGCCAGCAGGATTCTAACTATCCACATGAAATGCCAGCTCGTCTCCCCACCTAAGTGGTACCTATTTATCTACTCGCATATGACATGCTTTTGAACTGTTAGGTGGGCAGAAGCTGAGGCCAGGAATGGGAGCTCGCCCCACCATGCAGTTCTAGGATTCGAACCACTAGCGAAGGCCATCTCCAGCGTCAGTAAGCCACTGAGCCTCATAACCCTGTGGTCTAAAGGGATGACTGAATGTGGTGAAATTGAGGGTGGTAGTCAATGGTTTTTTTGTGCTCCCCCCGGCCAGGCCATTCCTTGATCGGCAACCTTTCACTCCCCTCCCGAGTCAGACTGCCATGCTAAGGTGGATGGGATGGGTGGGGTAGACCTGGTCCCCCTCCGCCATTTCGGAGCCAGGGGGGAGTGATGGTGAACAGCTCCCCTGCTGCTATGCGCCGCTGGAGGGGCTTTCTTTAAGCTTTGCCCCGCAGATCACCTGCCCGGGCGCAGTCGCCACCTCGTCCTCCGCCAATGCTCCTGTGGCTTGCGCCGTGACCAGGCGGCACAAGCCTCCCCCGTCGCCTCCCTCTGCCAGTCCTTTGTCGCCTTTCTCACAGGGAAGCTCTGGGGGGGGGGGGTAGAAGCTTCCCAGGCAGCTGGCAAATGTCCAAATATCAATTCAAATTTGTTGTTTAAACAGTTCAATTGTGCTAATTAGGTCCAATTATTGATGATTAACTACGAGGAGGAAAATCCAGAAGGGGATAATACAACCTGCTCTTTAGTCTTGAAAGGAGCAATTGTGCATCTGCTGAGCAAGAGACTAAGTCGTAAACTGGGGTGCTCTTGCACAGCAGAGGCGTGGCAACCTTTAGACTTAGTCTTATTGGAGCAGGCAGATTAAGACAACCCACTTGTGGATTCTCCATCCAATCATGCTGGAGAACGGAGAACACAGCAGCTCTGAGCACGGATGCGCACTTGCTTGCTGCCCTGCATTGCTCGTCTCCCTTCTCCCTTCTGGAAATGGCAGCCCAGTTTCCTGCCGTTTCTCCTCCCAGCGCAGTTCCTCCCTCTTCCCAAAAGCATTTCTTTGCTAACCTGCTTTCCAGCTCTGGCGTGTTTCTCTTCTGCTGCAGGGAAACGGAGTTTGTGGGACTAAAAAAGTTCAGTCAGACCTTCCAACTCCTTGTGAGAAGTTGGAAGGTCTGACTGAACTTTTTTTAGTTCCACAAATTCCGTTGAAAAAAGGTGCCGGAGCGCTGTTCCATGCTTTCTATGACAAAAAAAAGCCCTGGTGGTAGTTATCTATTATAGCATTTAATGTACAGTTCAGTCTTCTGAAAGGGAAGAGCTGTTAACATGGGGCCCGAAATTAAATGTGCTTTCACTGCTTAGCTCCAGCCTTCAGCAGGAATATGAAACTTAACAGCTTGCTCAAATATTTCAGATCTAATGAAGTAAGCATGACATAAAAGTTCAACCAAAGGACAGAAAGATATATGGAGTTAAAATATATACATTATTTTCAGGAAAACACTATTTATTACTTATTTATTTCAGCTGTTTATTGCTCTCTCTCTCTCCCCACCAAAAAGGAGGATATAACAAAAAGAAAAATGTACCAACTGTAGTCTTAGCTTTGCATCTTATTAAAGATTTTTTTTAAAAATCAGTAATACATAAAAATAATTTAAAGTAGGTAATCCAATGCTTATGCAAACAGCCATACTGTAAAATTCTGGGAGGTTCCTGACATGACAAAGTAATAAGCTTCTCTTCAACTTTTTTACATTCTTCCTATTACATTGGTCGAAAGTCTTCAGGCCTGTAAATAAAAGAATGAAAACACATTAATTGGGACACTGCGAAATAAAAGCAAGAATCGGAAATAAGTTAATTCTAGGCTATTACAGCATCAAACTCTACCTAATTTCATAGCTCAATTTCTATCATTGTAAGGACCAAAGAGGGGAAAATATTTCTGATAACTTTGTGAATAATCATTTGGTATTAGAACTTGACAGCTATTAACAGAAATATGTAATTAATGTCCAACAGCTTCTGCTGTTCAAGAAACCAAAATAAAAAGCAAGCATGAATTTTGTGTTTCTTCCATTCAAAGTCAGAACTAGGCACAAAAAAGATTAATTGCAGACACCCTGCAAAGCAAAACAAAAAACAAAAAACCCAGTTTTAATAAGTCTGCAATTCCCATGACCCCACCAACCCAATTCTGGTTAGCAGATGGTAATTTCAGAACTTGGCAACAACATCATATAACTGACACAAGCCAATGAAGGAAGACTGCATAGATTAACTCATCACTGAACCCCACAGATTTTCAAAGATCTGCAGCCAAGAGTTTGTCACTTATCTCTAAAGAATAGCCATATGGATGATATGGTTACGTTTTTATTATAGCTGTCCCACGAACACAACAAACAGTGAGGTATTCACCATTTGCTAACTTCTGTCTCTATTTATTCAGTCAAGCTCTTTGTATTTCTTTCAAATATGGGCACAAATCCACCTATAACCTGTTGCTATCTTCCCAACCTGGGCCTGGGTCATTCTAGTGAAATCACATTCTAACCACCATAAAAGACAAAAGTTGACTAAGGCATTTTTTTTACCACCATCTCTGTTATTTGGGCTCCCTTAGTCAAGCACCTCTACCTTTTAACCAATGGCTCTGCAAAAAGAGAGCAGCATTGCAAAGTAAAAAAAAAAAAAGCCAGGTACAAATTGAGTAAGTATTAGTGACATAAAGCAATAATACATTTTCAAAACAGTGGGGATGCTCCTTACCACATAAATACACATACCCATCAAGCATACACCCTTATGGGACAAGCAACACAATGCTATATGCGATGTGCAGAGGACTAAGAAATTGTAAGAAAAATAACTAGAAGCATAAGATGAGGGGGAAAAATAGCTAAATCTAGTATATGGTATTATCTAATGGTCATGTTCTTTTTGTGCCAACCCAACGGTAGTGAGGCCCCTCCTTAAGAAGCCCTCCCTGGACCCAGATGTATTGGCTAACTATCGCCCGGTCTCCAACCTTCGCTTTGTGGCGAAGGTTGTCGAGAGTGTGGTTGCGCAGCAATTCCCTCGGAACCTGGAGGAAACAGTCTATCTGGACCCGCTCCAGTCGGGCTTCAGGCCGGGATACAGCACGGAAACAGCATTGGTCACGTTGGTAAATGATCTCTGGAGGGCCCGGGACAGGGGCCATTCCTCTGTCCTTGTTCTTTTGGACCTCTCAGCGGCTTTTGATACCGTGGACCACGGTATCATGCTGCGACGTTTGGGTGAGTTAGGAGTGGGAGGCACTGTGATGCGGTGGTTCTCCTCCTTCCTCACCGACCATACGCAGTCTGTATTGGCAGGGGGACAGAGGTCGACCCCAAGGCCCCTAACTTGTGGGGTCCAACAAGGGTTGGTCCTTTCTCCCCTTTTGTTCAATATTTATGTGAAGCCGCTGGGAGAGATCATTCGCAGCTTTGGGGTGGATTTCCATCAGTACGCTGATGATACTCAGCTGTACATTTCCACCCCAGGTCACCCCAACGATGCCCTTGACGTGATGGCCCGTTGCCTGGAGGCNTCCCATGTAACACCGCTGCTGCGTGAGCTGCACTGGTTGCCGGTAGCCTTCCGGGTGCGCTTCAAGGTGCTGGTCATCATCTTCAAAGCGCTCCATGGCATCGGACCTGGATATCTCCGAGACCGCCTTCTGCCGCAGATTACCTCCCATCGGCCGGTACGCTCCCACAGAGTGGGTCTCCTCAGGGTGCCGTCAGCCACACAGTGCCGGCTGGCGACCTCCAGGGGGAGGGCCTTCTCGGTGGGAGCTCCCACCCTCTGGAACGAACTACCCCCAGAGATCCGGGTGATCCCGGATCTCCCCTCCTTCCGCCGCGCCCTAAAGACATGGCTCTTCCAACAAGCGGGATTGGCCTAAGGGAATTTTAGTGGGGTTTTAAGAGTAATTTTAATTGACATAGGCCACAGTAAATATTTCTTTTTAATTAGGTTTTAAACTGGGTATTTTTATTGTTGTATCTGTTTTATAAGGCTGTCAGCCGCCCTGAGTCCGTAAGGAGAAGGGCGGGATAAAAATTAAATAAATAAATAAATAAATAAACCCGTCCCACTCCCGTATTCTCTGAGTGAATATTCTTTTAGGTGCCAAAATTAATAATAAAGCCAAAAGTAGAATATAAGAATAGAATAGAATAGAATAGAATAGAATAGGATAGAATAGAATAGAATAGAATAGAATAGAATAGGAGATGGAAGGGACCTTGGAGGTCTTCTAGTCCAGTCCCCTGCTCAAGCAGAACAATAATGATTGTTAATAATAATAATAATAATAATAATAATAATAATAATAATAATAATATATAGAACAATAATGTAGGAGAAAAGCAGACAGAGCTTGGGGATGGAGTCAAGTGAGTAATCAGCCTAGAGTTGTTATGTTCCTGCAAACAGTCCAAGTCTAAATCCTCTTGAATTCTACTGAATCTTTATCTAGTGCCAGTTTAGTACTAGAGTCTTGTGAATAGGCATGATGAATAAATCATCTTAACCGGAACTTAATGTGTGGACGCAATACTTTGTGCCTGACAAATAAGTCTTATTTTACTATTCTGTGCTAATGCAATTCAGAGGATTTCTGCTATAGAACCTGAAGGTAAGTAAGGCATCAGGACTGGCAGCCACTAATAATATTTTCCACGAAGGCCAATTGAAACGTAATGCCCATAATCATATCTGGGCAAAGATCTGGTGTGGTGTAGTTGTTATGGACTAAGAGTGGAGACACCCAGATCCTAGTCCGCCTTTAGGCAGAAAAGCCAGCCAGGTGCCCTTGGACTTCTCACTCTCTCTCAGCCCAAATCAGTCAGACTCTATGCCAAGCCAGCTGGAAAACCAAAACCTCTGTCACTTCATGCACTGATCGCTTTGCTGTGTGACATGTTGCAAATGCAAGGTACCGTAAAGTAGACTCCCGCAACCAAGAGGGACAAATGGTAGGAACAACTATCACTGCAAATATAGGTACCTAATTCTTTTTGAGTTAATTATGTACTATGTAAAAAAACAAACACCTTTATTTTGTTACTCTTGGGTCTATTCTATGTTTATTACAGGACAACTAATGCATTAGCTTTACATTGGGATCTATAGCGGCAATCCTCCTCCAAAACATCACCTAGCTGGTGCAGTTAGAACTCACAGTCTCCTGGTTTCTGCCTGGTGCTTTAATCACTGCACCAAATTGGCTCTCGATATACATACAGGTGGACATTAATAAACCTATGTGTACAGCCAATATGTAAAAGAACACTGAAAAAGAATTCAAAGATTTTATAAAATAGTTACGGGTATTCTGAAGATATACAGCTCATAGAATCACAACCCACCTCCTCTTTTAACATCTCAATGACAGAATATTCATTAGCATTGGATGGTGGGTATGACATTTTTCTTAATGGAAAAAGGAACAATGAGAATGTCCTTGGGTTTCAAACACCCTGCACTGTTTTTGGAAATAGACTGTGTTCGCAATAGAGTTACCTAAAATATGTGATGTCTACAAAAAGGGTTCGATTTTTCTGCAAGACAGAAGAAATATACTGTATAGACTCCCTAATAGCAAGTATCTTAGTGAAAAATCTATATGAGGAATAATTTGATTCTACCTAGAACAAGGTAATAATTATGGATGTCTCTTCTCATCTTCTGATTTAATGCTCTATTTCCTCACTAAATTACTTATTTTCAATATGTTGTTTTTATGACCTAGGCTGTTGCTGTGAACACACTTTTGTTCAAAATCAACTTCCTATTTTTTTGTCTTTTACAATAGAGTAGAATAGTGCAGAAGATGGGACTCCTATTTTTATGAGAGATATTTACGGTATGTTATTTCCCAAGTTGACAGAATAAATCAAACAAACTGGAAAGTACCATTATTGTAATCTGCCAAAAAAAATCCCAAACAGATGTCCAAAGGATATATAGCAGGAGTGTCAAACTACCGGCCTGCAGGCCAGATGCGTCACACAGAAGCCCCGCCCACCCAGCTCCGGCAAGGGGGAAAAAAGTCACGATACGTCGTGACCCATCACGTGACGCGGCGAGTTTGACACCCCTGACTTAGAGGGAATTTAGATTTTCATACCAAAATCTAATGAGATAGAGCAAATCAATATTATGTGCTCCTTCTCCAGGATCGAGCAAGTTTTAAACACAGGGGATGCAGATTATCTGAATAGATTGAAACACAGCTTTCATTAGCACCTTTGTATCCCTTAATTTTGATTACAATAGAAGCCTGAGAATCACCTCCCAACTTTCGACAATTCATACGATCATAAAATATCTTATTCAGAAACTAGAGATCAAGGCCATTGTTTTAATTGTTCACTATTTTAGTTACCACCAAGCAATTAAAATCAACCATGAAAAAGCCCAGGAGATTGGAATGTGGTGATTATTAGCTGATGACACATGTTCTGTTCCGCGATAAGATGACCCTGCATCTTTCAGGCTTTCTTAATTAAGAAATAGCCTGTTGGAATAGAGTCTTGAATGCAGTGTTTTGCTTGATGAATCGTAATTACCAAATAAAGGCAGTATTTAACAAGGCAAACATACTTTATAGTAATCTTAATATTCTCATTAAATTAATGTGCAGAGAAAGTCAAGTCCATGTTTTAGAAAAAGGCATTAATTTTAGCTTACCAAAACGGTCTACCAATTTACTCTAATTGAAGAATGGGCAAGGAACCCTTGAGCTGCAGTAGGAGGGCCTATCACACATGGCATCGTCTACATCAGGGGTAGTCAACCTTGGCTCTTTTATGACTCGTGGACTTCAATTCCCAGAATTCCTGAGCCAGCTTAGCTGGCTCAGGAATTCTGGGAGTTGAAGTCCACGAGTCATAAAAGAGCCAAGGTTGACTACTCCTGGTCTACATACTGAGCCAATTGTTTGTTTGTTTTTTAAATGTATGTTAAACTTATTTTAAAGATTTACAGTTTAGCATTTATGAGTTTCTGCCTTAAAATGAGAGGAACAAATAGCACAATTGATGGGTTGCCTACTGTAATGATATGTGGGAATGGTTGCTTAGCCTGCAAAAGGCATGTTGATGTGGCAAACGTCTCAGAAGGGACGTTTTTTAGGCTGCAAAGTACACAGGCCTAGGCTGCATTAACAGAGGGATAGAATCAAGATCACGTGAAGTGTTAATACCACTTTACAATGGCTTGGTAAGGCCACACTTGGAATGCTGCATCCAGTTTTGGTCACCGCGATGTAAAAAAAGATGTTGAGACTCTAGAAAGAGTGCAGAGAAGAGCAACAAAGATGATTAGGGGACTGGAGGCTAAAACATATAAGGAACGGTTGCTGGAATTGGGTATGTCTAGTTTAATGAAGAGAAGGACAATGGGGGATAGCAGTGTTCCAATATCTGATAGCAATACTGATAGCAGTTCAATACTGATAGCAGTGTTCCAATATCTCAGGGGCTGCCACAAAGAAGAGGGAGTCAAGCTATTGTCCAAAGTGCCTGAAGGCAGGACAAGGAGCAACGGATGGAAACTAACCAAAGAGAGAAGCAACCTAGAACTAAGGAGAAACTTCTTGACAGTTAGAACAATTAATCAGTGGAACACCAACCTGCCTCCAGAAGCTATGAATGCTCCAACACTGGAAGTTTTTAAGAAGAAACTGGACAGCCATTTGTCCGAAATGATATAGGTTTCCTGCCTGAGCAGGGGGTTGGACTAGATGACCTCAAAGATCCCTTCCAACTTTATTATTATTATTATTATTATTATTATTATTATTATTATTATTATTATTATTATTATTATTATTATTATTATTATTACTACTACTACTACTACTACTACTACTACTACTACTACTACTACCACTACCGCAATGAGGGAGACATATACTTTCAGACTTGCAAGTGTGGATATCAGCCTTCCAAGGTAGCCCAGATGGAAAGCACACCCAGATAAACTAATTCTACTTTAACGTAAGGTTACATTAACCGAATCCTGTGTGATTTATAAATTGTTCTGAAACTTTTACTCAATTTAGTAAATTTATCTTATCACAAACCAACATTTAGGAACGCTGAATTTAAGAACTGCTAAACCAGAGCAGACACCCCCCCCCCCCCCGCCATCCACTCAAGCCATTCTCTGCATTAGTCCTTATACTTACATTCATCTTTAAGCAAATTATCTACTGGTTAAGTTTGATCCCGTTGAAAACCAATATAGTTTTCTCCAATATACCTAACCATATTTCATGGCCAAAAGCTGCTATTTATGAAGTGATAACATTTGCAGGTGTGCTCTTTCATCAATTGAAACCACATGCTTGGCATCTTCTCGTGCTCCTCTATTTGAAATATTTTGCTTTCTGGCTCGTGCTTCTTACGAAGCGTGACTGGAAACATACCTGCAAAAATATCTTATTCTTTTATATCGCCACTGCTTGTCCTGGGCCCCTTGGTGTTGGAGGCAGACAGATATTTCATTGAGGCATACCAGAGAAGAATTAAAGCAGCCATATGGTTATGTAGATATGTATAAGATTATAAATACGGGTTGTCCTCAATTTACAACAAGTAAATGTGTTTGTTAAAAGAGGATCCATTGCAGGAGGTATCATAAATATTCCTTTATGACAGACTTACGGAGTCCAGATCTTTGGGAAAGCATCTATTTCCTCTTGTGTGTATTCATTTAGCTTCTTGGGCACGTTGCGGGGCTGCGGAAGCTCCTCTACCAGATTCTTACGAATGTCTTCAGGAATAACCTAAGGAAACGAGAAACACAATGATAAACATCAGTCTTCATTCAGTTCCTCAGAAGGCTGGACCTTTGAGGGTTCAGTTCAATTACAGCAGGGGTGTCAAACTCAATTTCATTGAGGGCCGCATCAGCATTGTGATTGCCCTCAGTGGGGCGGGTGGGTGTGGCCAGGGTGGATGCGGCCTACTGGGTGGGCGTGGATGGAGTGGGTGTGGCCTGCTGGGTGGATGTGGCTAGCTCTACACCGTTTGCGTCAAGGGTGCCTGTGGGGGCCTGGGCAGGAGTGGGATAGATCTGAGGGTCTCTGGCAGAAGGGGGTGGGACCAGGGCAAGTGCCAAGGCGTGGTCCACTGGAAGAGCCTCACTGTTCCTCTCAGGCCATGCAGGGGGGGGCTTATGGAGCTAAGACTGAATGTGTTTCAGCATAGATGGCCACCACAGAATTGTACATTGGCTCCCGGCTGGCCTGGGCCAGGGCCAAGGCAGAGGGGGCCGTTCCCTCATTGTTTCCAGGATGGCTTCGCGGGCCACATGAAACCGCTTTGTGGCCGCATCTGGCCCCCGGGTCTTGTGTTTCACATGTCTGAATTACAGCTATTTAGAGATAGCTGAAAGGAAGTCTATATTCTCTTTTTGTACCTCTACATCAAATACCATCATTTCCACAAAGGAGACAAAACACAAACTTTTCACAGAATCATGAAGTTGGGAGGTGCCACTTGGACAATTGAAGTTTATTAACATTTTGGATTGACTGAGAACACGGTAGTTGTTCATGAAGGAAATTAATCCTCCAAAATACAACTTGCCTAATAATTGTGCACACAGTGTAAACATTCCTGGTTCCTTCAATCTGATTGGNTTTGTTTTAAAAGAGAGTTAAAGGAAGTTATAGATTTGTTAGATTAATAGTTGATTAATGTTAGTTAGATCATGATTATTTTATTGTTAATCCTGTGATTGGCTCTGGGAAGGGAGGGGGGGAGGGATGGAGGGTTGGGTTTGGGGGGAGGGGGGGATTTATATTGTAAAATTTTATAAAACTTTCAATAAAAAAAAAGACTGATCTATATGCTGCTATGTTTTCATATTACGGTAAACATTTTGCATTCTTAGCTTAATTTTTTAAGGTCTATGTATGTCACCTTAAAGCCTATTTTAATTGAAAAGCTAACTTTTGCATTTTGTATATAAAAAAACTGAGTGCTTGGCTAACAATGATAAATAAATAAAAATATGATGAAAAAAATAAAGGTATATAATTCTTCTGCAGGATCATCCATATCAATTTATATTAGGACCAAAAGAAAAAGAGCACAGTAATTCCAAAACTGTTACAACATGAGCTTCTGTACAAAATTGTATTTTTCTAGTAGGAATCTTTCAAATGTAATTTCTTTCGATTACAAGACTAAGAAAGCAAAGTACAATAAGCTGTTATTCATAGGTAAGAAGAATATTAGTAACTGACATACATTATCAGGAAAGAGATGTAGCCTTTGCATCATAGTTCTTCTGTGAAGATTCTTTGGGAGCATTCCATAAATGGCCAGTTTTACAATCTGGAAAATAAGTATTATACATTATGCATACAATTTTATATACAATGCAATGCAGTTTGACACAAAGTAAGAACATTACTAAAAATTATGTAATAAACACAAGCATAATAAAAAGGAAAACTCTCCTTATGTTGCTTGCAAGTGCAAGCATGGAGGGTTTTTCTTACATAAAAATTGCTTTATACTCAATCAGATTAATGACCCCCCCACCTTTAGCTCATCAACTTTCCCCGATACTGGTAAACTCCAGAAGGACAGACAGAGTTCGACTTCCAGAATTCTCCAGCCATCATGAACTATGCAAAGAATTTAGGGGATTGAAATCCACACAACTGGAAGATTATGGATGGACAAAACTAGAATAGAAATGGGCTAATAAGAAAAGACAGGCAACAGTAACTGAAAAAACAGTTCTTTGGATGCTCAATAGGACACATACCATTTCTACTGGAACTGAATACATAAGAGAGAAGAAGGAAGAGGGAGGAGGAAGAGGAGGAGAAGAGGAAGAGGAGATATTTGAAGCGAAGTGAATTGTATACTGTATGGATCAATCATTTTACAGTATATGTTTATCATTAGCATTTCAAAGTAAGTCCATCACAGTCCAAAATGTATGAAAGGTTCTATATTGGGATAGATCTGTTAGCCCACACAAGTGTGTATCAATATGGAATTCAATTTCATGTAACTATTTAAGATAAGAAAGCATATGAAGAACTTTCTTTGCAGAAAATCTTTAGATGGAATTCTGAAATACCAGAATTCAACTAAAATAATGAAAAACTGTCAGAGGCAAAAGTTTTAAACATTGAGGCCAAAAGCAGATAAAACTAAATGGCAATTTAAAAAATGAAGTGGATCCTTTAAAAAATTACACTCAATTTAAATGTGTATTTCCCGATTTTAAGTGCATTAACATGTAGAGCAGAGACATAAAGATGCCACAAAATAGATACCACTAATTCTTTCCAGTCTTCTTTATTATAACTGAAGCTATTAGCTTCTCAAAGGAGGGCTGCTTAAAATAAACTGCAAACATCAAAATAGCGCTCTGAACTGCCCCTTATAATATCCATAAAATTGTCAAGTTAAAAACAAAAATTATTTTTATACCTTCTAAAAAAAGTCTCACACATCCAGTTTATTTATCCAAACTAGGGAAAGCATGCTGAGCATTATATTGAAATTCTTTTCAACTTGATCCTTATTTTGCTAGTTTCTCTCTTCCCCCACCCCCAAATCAAGTTTATTCCAGTTCTGTTCAATCCACAGAGATATTCTGATGGATAGACAGCATCCCAAGCTCCTTTACAAAATGCCTTTCTCTTTCTCTTTCACTGGCTTGGAAAGAGCTCAACCATTCCATTCCATTCCAATGCACTGGAACTCTTATGGAGTTAATGGGAATGCTTTCAGTGCTTAACCTTTGGTAACTGGATGAAGATGTCATGTAGAAAAACGAAAATAAGTAGTCCACAACCAAAACAGATAGAGAGGGTACTAAAATTAAAAGCTTTTATCATGGTTCTCACTGTCATCATCACCATAATTATCTGCAGACAAAACCTTAGGACCTAACTCCAAACCACAAAGCTAATAGAAAAATTATAAGGATACCAAGCAGCGTGAAGCACGTCAGAGCAAACCAAAGCCATGAGCAAAAAGCAGTCAGGTGAAAGCAGGCAACAAAGGAACATCACAGAGTTTCAATTAATTTCAAACTAAATCATTGATTTTCAATTATTTTCAGTCTTTTACTGCTTTTATGCTTTGCAAAGCATAAAATCTGTAAAGTGTTCATGAAGTAGCAGATTTCAAGTCTTTTTCCAGTCCGACACTCTTAAGTTTTTCTTATATTTTTAATGCCACAGACTTCAAGTACATTGATTTAAAAGTTCTGTGGAATCCTTAGTGCCGTCTGAGCTTGGTTGTTTGCTCACGGCTGCTTCATTACTGATGATGTTACCTAACTGGGTAATGAAATGTCTACAAGCAAACCAAGCTCAGACAGCACCAAGGGCCCCACAGTTCAGCCCTGAGTTACAGATATTCTATTCTATTTAAAAAAATTCTGTTAAGCTTTTCTGATATCGTGCAAGTCTGAACTGAGGGCTAAACATTTATAGGTTTATCAGATGTTTAAGAATTGCCTGATACACATAGAGAGTCCCAGTTCAGGTATGAATGGCTTAAGACTATTATACTGATTCTTATGAAATAGTTCTCTTTAATCTGATTAAGAAGTGAAAAAGCTAGATTTTTATAAATAAATACCTCTTTTTATGGCTTTTATGTAGGCAGGCCAAGCTTTTGCAACACACTGCAATTTTCTTTCTGTAAACATTGGCTTTTTTTGCTTAGAGCAATATTTAGAAACCTACATAAAATAGGAAAAATAACTAATGAGGACAACAGTTCTATTTGAACTTCTTCCTATTATCCGCAGGGATTCTGGGAAGATCTGTTTATCCTAGGATGGAAGCGAAGCTGGCAAAAGTAGAGGTGGTGGCATAATGTCACACTGTGTGGAAATTATGATGTGTTTTGTGGGTTTATAATTGTTTTTACAGAATGCTGTTGGGAGCTGCCTAAGATTATCATATATAAGATGGGTGGCCATATATGTTTTCTAAATAAATAAGCATAGCCATAATTAAGTCCAGCCAAAGAAATATATGCTCTTATTTCAGCCAGGAAAAAAAAGCAAACCCAAGACCAGCATGGTAAACATGATCTCTGCAAAGGAGAATACTAGTTTACTGATTCAGATGTCACAGTTATGGTAGCTTTCTGATGTGGTTCACAATTTCACCAAAGCCTTCATATTCAAAATGGTATGAGTCTTCCAGAGTCCTGTCTCAACACAAGAGATTCCTGACTTTTCAGAAAAATAGTTCTGTGGTTCCTCTTGCTGCAAAGAAATCTCCATCTCTCATTTTTATTTGCCTTTATCTTGGCTTGTATTTAAGATTTGAGTTTGAGGGGATGAAGTTGTCCAAATCACTGAAAGCAGAGGCTGTTCTGGGGAGGGAATGGATCAGATCCAAAAGCCTTGGAGAGCATGAGAACTACTTGGGCTGCCAGTCCTCTCGGAAAACGTGAAATAATGTAGACGTTGAACAGCCAAAAGTACAGTATATTAACGTATGCAGTTTGGACAAGGTTGACAAAAAAGAAAGTTGTGGAACTGTTAATCATGTAGGAAAAAACCCACTGATCACATTTAAATCAAGTCTTACAGTGCTAATATATGAATGTATCATGTAACATTAATCATAGTTGGAATGGCAAGGATACGGAAGGACCCACTTCTCTTGTTTTCCACAATAATTTGGATGGATCTGAAGATGCATTATTATTAAACTAGAAGGAGTTAAAAATTAATGGAAAAATGGGATCTAATTAAATGAAAATTCTACTTATCGCAAAACATAAATAAGCCTACTGTATGTCACTCAATGAATACATTGCATGGTTTTAACATCAGGAATCATTGCCAAGAATATCATGATCTGAGATAATACTTTAAAAAAACAACAATGAAAACTATAGCGGTAAAAAGTCTGGCAACTGGGAGCCGGTATAGCAGAGTAGCTAAGCATCCGCAAATCTCAAATTCCAATTCCAACTGTACAGTACTATGAATTCACTAGATAATCTTTAAAATACTCTTTGGCTGCCTTAATCACTTTCTCCCAAATGTATTAGAACCAGATAACACTAACTCAGTGGGCGTTCTAAGGATTACAGGTAGACAAGAGACATCAATAAGGTTGAATGCTTGAAGGCCAAACAAATATTAATATAATCACCACCACCACCATCATCACCTGGATTTTGGCAAATAATGGTGAAATAGCCCTTATTTCAGAGAACATTTTCACATGTGCTTGACTACTCTGTCACTTACACAGGGATGCCCACCCCCCATCCCTCAAAAAAACCTGGGGATAAAAGAATGAGATATTTTACAAAAAGAGGCAGAGCCTGGGGGTAGAGTCAAGAGAGGACTCAGCCTAGACTGATTACATGCCCGCAAGAGCTCCAGATCCAGCCCCACTCCCCATGAATTCTGTTGACTCTTATCTAGTACCAATTCAGTGCTTGAACAATAAATGTTAGCTGGGAATAAACATATGGTCCTGGCAGATATTAAGTTATAAATATAAGGCTTCATACTGAATTGTCACCAAATCTCTTCATGGTAAAGCCTGTGACCTAATTTCATAAGTTATAAGGTCCAATACTTGTGATGCTGAAACAAACAAATATAGCCCAATCTCATTTTCATGTACCATGATACTGAATAACACTACTGGTGATTTTTTTTTTTTATCAGCCCAAAGGAAATTTGGTGGCAGCTGCCCTTGAGTATCACAAGGTACTGTAAATTTAAATTAGTGGAAGATCCTGAAAAGAAATTAATGACATGCACACATTCTTCTTTATAAATAAGGGGAAACTGAAAACAAAGAAACTGAGGGGAGATGATATATATAAATGGAGCAATTTATTTTAGATTTTGAAAAGTTGTTTTGGAATGCATGGGAGGGAGGGGGGGGGAACCAACTTAGCACATGTTTGCTCTTCTTTAAAATATCATTATTATCTTTTCCTGGGATGGCAGCTCTTGGTTTTTAACTTTTACATTTTTAACATTTTAAAACTTATTATATTGTAATCCTCCCAGAGCTGTCATATCAATGAAATGGACAGTAAAGAAATGTAATAAATAGCAGTGAAACTGAGGAACATAGCTGCACAATTTTAGGAAAAGATACAGTGACTTTAAAGGGGTGCAAACAGATGTCCATCTTCATGCTTTCATAAGATCAGAAGCACCTCTTTTGGAATTAAATCCAAAATGCCTGATAGCCTAACGTTAATCTCCTTTGCTTCCAAAAAGGCAGATGAATACCAACAATAAAATGCCCTGTTCCTGCTGATTTTCCATTTACGTTAATCCCTTCCAAAGGCGGCAAAAAACCAATATGTAT